TCAATTGTAATCTCATATGAAAATACAAATTATAGGATCTTTATTACTTCGGACAAACTAGAATGCTTTTTATGTAAGCAATCTGGACATACTGCAGACTCCTGCCCTAACCCTCAAGAAATATCTAGCAATCCCTCTCCAAATACAAGCCAAATCCCAATTGATCCTCCTTCTAGGATATCTCCTCTTTCACCCTCCTCAAAAAAAAAAAAAGAAATATATTCAAATAACCCACCTACTGACATAACAACCCACAATGAACAGTCTGTAATACCATTATGTCCCTTCTAACTCTGACATAAAAAGAACTCATTCCACTGACACAAGTCTTGAATCACCTTCTTTACTGGTTACTGCTAGCCCCCTAAACTTAAACCTTCGCAACTCCTAAATCAGCTCCTAAAAAGAAAACAAAAACTGATGATAAAGAAATTGGTAAAATTAGTCGATCTGTCCACTCAAGTACTGAAAAATTAATTTGTGCGAATCCAGAAAAATTTTCGTTATCAGCATTACAAATAATTGCCTGCCTAGAAAATTCTTTTGGGAGTAGTGATGCTCTCAAAGAAGTACATGATTTCAACAAGAACATTCATTCTCTCCTCGAAGATATTACACAAATATACCAAAATGTATACGATAGATCACCTAAAAATCGCATTACAAGAATAACGAAAAAGCTAAAACGCACATTAAATTCTATAGACGCTGACAAACTTACCAGCCTTACGTCCAATAATTCATATGACTCTAACTGCAATGATATCGATCTTTTCTGAAATTACTTAATTAGTACAAGGTATATTCTTTCTACTAACCAAATAAGTTTGCAAATTCACTATATTACAATGAAACTGCGACGGATACTAAACGCGCCTTAAACACATTCAATATCTTATATCAATTTACCATCCAGATTTTCTTTGTCTCCAAGAGACTAATTTTAATAAACTAATATTCCTCATCTTAAATCCTTTGAAGGATACCACTTCATGAGAACGAACTGCTTCAGAGCTAGTGGAGGTGCATCTATATTTGCGTCCAACGAAATCTTCTCAACAATGCTACCATTAATAATGAATCTTGAGGCAATTGCCATAACTACATATTGCCCTAATAAACTTACCATCTGCTCCATATATATTCCCCCAAACCATTCTCTAAAAGAAGAAGAGCTCCTAGACCTTATATTCCAACTCCCACAGCCGTTTATACTCACAGGAGACTTCAATGCACATAACAGTATGTGGGGTTCTTAATCAACATTTGGACGGGAAATGTAGTTGAAAATATTATTAACTGCACAAACTCATGTCTTCTTAACACAGGATCAAATACTCATTTTTATATTTCCTCTGGATCTTTCTCTGCTATAGATCTTAGTATTAGTGACCCTAAATCTGCACCTTTTTTAACCTGGCAAACAGCTGACGATCTCTTTGATAGCAATCATTATCCTATAATAATTTTCAACAATTGTAATGGGACTGCCTCCGCCAAAAGCTATTGGCGCCTAAATAAAGCTAACTGGCCAGAGTATTCAAAAGCTGTTAACACTCTCTTGCTCGCTCATGATCATCTAATAATCAATAATGTAAACTATTTGTTAACGTCAATAACAGACACTATTCTTTCAGCTGCTAAGACTCATATTGGCAAAACATCATTCTCTCCAAATCATAAAGCAGTTCCTTGGTGGAACTCTTCTTGTGAAGAGGCGATTCGTCTATCCAAAAAAGCTTTAAATAAGTTCCAAAAAAAAAACAGAAGCCTTGAAAATCTAATAAATTACAAAAAATTCAACGCCAAGGCCAAACACGTAGTTAAAAAAAGTATAAAATCATCCTGGCAAGATTACGTATAATCTATAAACGAAAACTCCAATCCTAGCCAAATTTGGACAAATTCAAGGTCACAAACCTAATAGTAAAATTACTCGTTTAATTTCAAATGGTATAGAGATCGCTTCACACGAACTTATTCCTAACGTCTTTGCCAAACATTTCGAAGACAAGTTCAGGAATAAAACCAATAATATTGATTTGTTTCATAATGACTTATATTCACACAGAAATCATCTGATATCATCTGAACATAGTAGATCCCTTAATTCTCCTTTCACTATGCATGAGCTAATATCTGTCTTAGCTAATAGTAGAAACACTGCAGCTGGGCCCGATGATATTCCTTATGCATTCCTAAAGCACTTGTCTAATTATAGTCTTAAAAATCTCCTTAATTTATACAATATAATCTGGAGTTCCCATAAATTTCCATGTCATTGGAGCAAATCTATTGTTATACCAATACTCAAGCCAAATCAGCCAACTATCTTTCCACAATCTTACAGGCCCATCTCTCTCACAAGCACTATGTGTAAGCTAATGGAAAAAATGATTAACAAACGTCTTTTATGGTATTTGGTGTGGAAAAACACAAGATTATTCCAAAGAAACAATCTGACTACCAAAGACAGCGCTCCACAAGAGATAATCTAGTAATACTCCAAACCCATATCTCCAACGCAATAAACTGCAAGCAAGATTTGATAACAACTATCTTAGATATAGAAGGCGCATTTGATACCATATCTAGAAATGCAATCCTTAACAAACTTTTTGAATGTAACCTTACTGGCAACATATACGCATTTATCAAAAACTTCCTAACATCTAGATCGTTCAGGGTTTCTGTCAATAACTTCCTTTCTTCTCCACACATCCAACACGATGGAGTTCCTCAAGGTTCAGTTTTAAGCACATCCTTATTCATTCTTTCGATTAGCAAGTGAAAATATAGCTCCACCAATCAAATGCGTATTATATGCCGATGACCTAATAATGTACTGTCATAAAAAATCCAACGCAACTACTAGTAAAATTCTACAATTAGGAGTAAATGACCTACAGAACAAAGTAGCTTCTCTAGGACTTACCCTCTCCCACTCTAAATCCAAAGTTATTAAATTTAGCAGAAGAATGAGTTCTTTTGATCCTGAAGTCACTATCAACAACTTCAAATTACCGGTTGTTAATAATTGCAAAATATTAGGGCTGATATTTGATTCAAGATTAACCTGGAAACAACACATACAGGAACTTAAAGCAGTTTGCTTAAAAAGGTTAAATATACTCAAAACACTCTCACATTATCATTGGGCGCGAAAGAAACTACGTTACTGAAAGTCTACAGATCACTTATCCGCTCTAAGCTAGACTATGGATGTTTCGTCTATATGTCTGGTACTAAATCAATATTAAATTCACTGAATACAGTTCACAACACAGCTATTCGTCTATGTCTTGGAGCATTCCGTTCCAGTTCGGCAGAAAGGCTGTCATCTATTTACATCATCACATCATCCCCATAACAACCCTCCATGTAACTTAATTATACATCCTATTCCTAGTCTTCTACAACCGTTACTAACAGATATAAATTTGTCTGAAACCAGAACTCTACCATTCTCCAATAATCCCTATTGGACCAACATACTCCCATATCATGATATTTCACTCACCAAGTTTAACAAGGAAGATACCAGTACTAGTACATTACGAATTCTCTTCCTAGAACTTATAAACAAAAATAAATATAACATAGTTCTTTACACTGACGCGTCAAAGACTGAAAGTGGTGTTGGATATTCTGTAACCACTGTACAACAGCCTATCGAACTCTCTAAAATCTCTCCTTAGTGTAATATCCACACTGGTGAACTACTAGCTATCTTACAAGTTTTCAAATATGCCCAACAATATCCAAATACACACATAGCCATATGCTCTGATTCGCTTTCCTCTATACACTCCATTAATGCTATATCCACCAAACATCCTATCGTCCAAGATATTCATGACACATATCAACTTCTTATATAAAAAAATATAACTATCACTCTGATATGGGTACCATCCCATGTTGGTATTAGTGGTAACGAAAAAGCTGATTGCCTTGCCAAAAAAGCAGCATCATCCACGGACACCATTATGAATATACAAATTTGCAATGATCTGAAAGCTAGACTAAAGAAGCTTAATTTATCCACCTGGTAGATTCACTGGAACAATGTTACTTCAGCGCTGCATGAAATCAAACCTTCAGTGAACCTTCTCACCTATCCCAGTTTATCTCGAAAAAATATGGCAATCATACGGAGATTGCGTATTGGACATACCCGTCTAACTCATGGCTACCTGATGACATCATCTCCACAACCAAAATGTCAACACTGCAATACGACTCTCCGAATTAAGCATATACTTATCGAATGCCCTTTTTATGCCAAAATACGCCAACAGCTCAATATCAGTACCAACTTCAAAGAGGTCCTAAGCAACACAGACGAAATCAACAAGGTCATCAAATTCCTCGAGAACAGTCAACTGCTCAACAAAATATAAATGTTATATTATAAGTTTTTATTATTTTCTCTGTATATTAGATGTTAACTACATTTTATTTGGTAATTTATATTATCTTACCATGTAAATCGTAACTCGTGCTAATGACCAAAAATGTCACATGAAAAAAAATTACTATTGAGTTAAAAATATTTGCGTCCACTTTTTGACTAGTAACCTATTATCAATGCATTTTCATAATTTTAAATGTATATAAAAATGTGAGTTTGATTAACTACGTTATGAACGTAATGATCCTGTAGTGGGATCTTAGAGAATGAATTAAGTCATGAGATAGAATTTAATATTTTACTCCAATCGTTACGAGACGAAAATGCCACTGAATCTGTAAAAATCATAGAAACAAGTTGAATTTTGCGACCCCAAAAAAAGACGCAAAGACACAAAAGTTTGTCAGTCCTAACCCAAGGCTTTCCTCTAAAACAGAAAACATGGAGTTTTAGAACAAGCAAAACTTATCAAGAATGATTATTTTTTGCTAAAAAAAAATAAAGTTCTTCCTCTTGGACACCCCATCCTTGGTCACACTGTAGAAAAAACAAAATAATATAAAAATATCCAACTAAGACTACTTACTCCGCTTCTTGAGCAACATTAGCAGCATTTAAAATTTGTTGAGGTTGATCATGGTTATGGTGATGATCATGATGTTGCTGCTGATGTACTGGTACATTTTGCTGGGGTACAGGAACCTGTTGGGGTACATGTTGATATTGTTGTGGTGGAGCTGGTTGTTGATATTGTTGTTGTGGAGGGGGCTGTTGATATTGTTGTTGAGGCACTTGATGTTGGTATTGTTGTTGAGGCACTTGCTGTTGGTATTGTGTGTGGGAAGGTTGCTAAAATGAATATATTTCGAACATAATTTAAAACGAAGTAGAAAATAAGTACAATTTTTTTTTCTTTGCTTGAATATAGGGTTCTCATGTTAATATTATGTCAGTTATTAAACCCAAAGGAAGTGATTACAATGACAATTGAAACACGGATTTAAGTAGCATGGTTAGTCATTTCTCGGTAGTGATTCTCATCAAATAATGAGAAACATTTGTAACTGATCTCTTCCGTTAATACTCCAAATGGACTAAGGCGTTGTTTATTACAATAATTTATTATAATCGACACATTGTTTGCGTTCAAGCTTAGCACATTACATTTTCAGTGATTTATAATAAACCCTCGTAACTTGTACTGATGGGGAAGTTAACCATACTTGCAAATTTGTGTTTAATTCGAACTAAAAGAACTTAAGGTTTACATTATAATTGTTTATTTTAAAAATCGTTTATACATTATACCCATATTAAGTGGTTTTTAGTTATCTATATTTAGCAAACTCATTTTAATACTATAATATGTAATAAGATGTATTTTTTTATTATTATCCTAGATATATTACAGTATTTATTTTTGGAACATAAAATTATTAAGAGGAATGTGAATTTACCAGATTTGCCCTACAGTTTAAAAAAGTTATAACAGTTATTATAATTGATATAATAAATATGGGGTATAATTGATCGCTGCTACCATAATCGAATCCAACAATTAAAAAATACTTATGAAAAAAATTGATAAAAAAAAAAAAAATTGATAAATAATTTACGGAGATATTTGCAAAAAGCAGTTTTTTTGCACTAATTTTATTTTTTTTTATTAATAAAATAAAATGTTAATAATACATTAAAACATCGAGGAATTACCGTCCTTTAAATTTATGCGAAATTTCTCCCCAATTGGTCAAATAGTTTAAAAGTTATTTAATTTGTTTATCCCCGAGACTAATTATTTAAACTATTGAACTTGCCCTATGAATAATGCTAGAAACATTTAGCAAATTTCTTAGGATTATTAAGACTTAAAGTATTTCAGAAGTTAAACGCATATTGCGTTTTCATTGAAATTATTTACAAAACAAACGTTTGAAAAAGGGGTATGTTTTTTTACTTATAAACAATTTTAATAACTTCTATATTTTTCAAGCTACAGATTTGTACATACAACCATTGGATAGCTGGTAAAAAAACTCACATTTAAAAAAAAATAAACGTTCTATGACCAATAGGAACGAAGTTGGCGACTATTTTTTTTAAATCATACCTCCATTGTTTTTAAATATTAAAAAGTAAAATTTGCACAAATTTTGAATGAAATTTTAAAATTTATATTGAAACTTATAACTATAAAATTCATCAAATTTTTCGAAACTTACAGCCATTTAAAACGAAGGTACTTTCGAAAGATCGACATAGAAAAGTGGAGGGGAAACTGTATTAGCTCCACACTCCAAAATTTCCTCAGTCTCAGCGTAGTGGCTTTAGAAAGCAATATACTTGTACTTCTTTCAGTAAAATATTTTGTGTATTTTGAACAAAAAAGTTTTAACTAAATGTATTTAATTACTTTTTGATTGAAAATTGTAAGTAATATTTAAAACTATTGAAAAAAAAATAAATTATTTTCGACTTGTATAATCGGTGAAAAATATTATTTATTATAGATTATTTCATAATAAACAGCAGACTGTGGCATTAACTTGTTCAAGAAGTAGTAGTTTCAAAGAAAGTATTTTCCTTTTTTAATTTGTTTTATAAATTGCTAAATCACTGTTATGCAAGTTAAACCTTTGTTTTGAAATATTTTGATTACTTTTACTTTAATGTTTATAATCATAATTAAATTTCAACCTAATAAAATAAAAAGTCTTTACAGATTTTAGAAACACGATTATGCTTGTTATAACTTTATATATTTTTAAAAGATTCGTTCTATATAAGCTTGCAATATTCTGATTTTTCATTAATAATAAAAAAATCTTTTTTTGATTTATTTTAGACATCTGAAACATATTTCCATTCAATAGGAGCAGATCATTTTTTACTCTTTTTGTACTCTTTACGAGGTAATTCTTTAAAATTTTTGATTGCATTATACATTAAATCGAAAGAAATTTTTTTTGTAATATTTTATTTATAATCAGGGGAAATTTATATTACTCAACGCAAATAAAGAAATTCTTAGTTTCATGGATATTTTCTACGATTCCAACGCAAGTAAAGAAAATATAATGAGAATTGGTTGAGAGTTATACGATTTAAGATACTTACAATTCAACAGAAATATCGGTAAATCATCTTTTAAACTAGAAACTCTGCCACCAACTGAAGATGCAGCCAAACAGCATGTTATTTGGGTTTACTATCAATTACAAACGTGGTTAGGTAATAAGTTAGATGCTTGTGCCTATGGTTGAAGACAAAGTGCCACTGGTTTTGAACCAATTTATACTCTAGATAATTTAATTCCCGAAGAGACATTAAAGCACATTACATGCAAATGCACCACAGGTTGCAAAACTACTAGATGTGGGTGCAGAAAACGTGGTTTGAATTGTACGAACTTGTGCATAAATTGTACTGAGGAAGAAGTAGAGGAGAAAATATCGAGCCCTTCCAGGAAAACATCGTAACCAACAATTTTTCGAATTGTTGAAAATTTGATTTTTCATGGAAAATCATCCTAACAAACAGGCTTTTTGGTTGACCAAAACATCGTAAGCCAAACGAACACGGTTTTAGATTTAAAAGTAATAATGCATTTTATCGTTACCAACACACGTCAATATCAGTGAAAGCAAAAACGTCGTAACCGTGCGTATAAAAAATCCTTAGGATACTTTTGCATGGTTACGATGGGCAAAACCGATGTAACGATGTCCTCACCGTTCAACAGTTTGAACCGTGGGAGTGTCAAGGTTGGCGCAGCCACCTCTTCAGCGATATGGTGAGTGGGATTCTGAGCGGCTATTTAAGGCATGTGAGTAGCGGAATTGGTCAAGCAACAGCTAGTTTGCATCGAGTATTCTTAGAGTACGGTTGTGTGTTCTTGTTTTTAGGTTCTCGTTCGCTCCTATAGCACAGGGTCAGTTAACTGCCATAGGCACCGTTACAAAGCTGACCGTTTGGACGAACGACGCGCCGAAGAGATAAGACGGACAAAGGCGATAAGAAGTCAAGATAATCAAACAATAGAACAATAGAAGCATTGTTCTTTGTTTCAACGCACCCATTGTTCAATTTTAACGGTTTTAAAAAACCGTTTAGCGCTCACAGGACTTTTATTGTGTTGGATTGGAGGCTCCCGTCTGCTGTTTCGGAGATTCTGCTGGTCACGGTGAGGGCTTAGTGGATGGTCCGTAAGAAAGCCATCCGCGTGCCGTAGCCGGGGCTTTCAGCTTCCGATAGGGCGATAGGACGACCAGGTCCGACATTGTAGCAGTCTTGTGTCTTTTTAGGTACAGAAGTAAGAATAGAAAGAAGAATAAAAATCAGTAGCGATTCAAAAGGTGTAGTGTTTTTCATCTGGGTCAGTACATCTTATACTCGCTATTAGATAGCTGGTAAGTGGTCAAGCATAGTGGGTGGTTGCCGTAAGAAAAGGCCACCTACGAACGCTGTAAGCCGGTTCTACCTAGTTATTGATTGCGTGTTGACTAGCTGGCCTAGTGTTACATACTGCGCTTGAGTCACGAACTGACTCCGGTGATTTTCTCTATAGTTACTAATTTTAATTAGTAACTTTAGAGAACTTTGATTGGTAACTCCAATTAATAAACATATAGAAAACAACAGTATACATAGGAAGTGCATCGAGGGACCGACAGCTCATTTGAAAGTTAGTATAGTCCGACGACCCGCCATCTTATACATTGCACTACGTATAAGAAAAAGGGTGTCTTCTGGGTGCACGCCTAGTTTTACCACTTCGTAATGCCACGATCGACCCGTTCCAACAGGTCAAAAACGCGTCCAGCCGAACCTCCTGACCCCCCTCCCATTCAAAATCAATCTATAGTTTCCAACATTAGTACAAATGACGCGACACCTGACCTCTCACATGATTTTCCACCTTTACCACAACGCACATACCAAAATCCAATCTCACCACTTCCCGCTTCACCTAATAACCAATATATTGTTACGATTTTAAATGTTATGGCATATAGAACTGTAAATACTTTATGACTAATTCTTTTATTGATTCTCGTAATTTCTAGGTCAAAAATCTACCTGAATCGAATGTTCTGGGGGCGACAAGCCGATAAAAAAACATGTTTTGAGACCAGTCGCCGCTGTGTCTACATCGAGAACAGCAGAAAACCGTCGACCACCTTGGCAAGAAATATCGAACCTAGGCTCAGTAGTTAAGACGTATTGGGCCCAGTGGGACTCATTTATCATGGAAGATAGCTTGCTCAAACGAGTCCTGGAAAATGATGACGGTTCAGAGAAGAGAAGACAGTTGGTGATTCCAAAGAGCAGAATAGCCGAAGTACTTCGTCAGTTACACGACAGTCCATCAGGAGGGCATTTTGGTGTGAAGAAGACCCTTCAGCGAATTCGGGAACGGTTTTATTGGATGAACAGTTCCGACGATGTAAAAGACTGGTGTAAGAAATGTACTATTTGTGCTACGAGTAACGGGCCTTATCGAAAAAGGAGAGCTCCTATGAGACAATATAATGTTGGAAGCCCGTTTGAAAGAATAGCTTTGGACATTGCTGGGCCGTTTCCAGAAAGTGATAATGGAGGCAAGTACATGTTGGTAGTAATGGATTACTTCACTAAGTGGGTCGAGATTTACGCACTTCCAGACCAGAAGGCGGCCACCGTTGCAGATAAGTTGATCCAAGAATATATCAGCCGATTTGGAGTGCCTTTGGAGATCCATAGTGACCAAGGCAGGAACTTCGAAAGCGATTTATTCCAAGGAATATGTGATAGACTAGGTATGAAGAAAACAAGGACTACGGCTTATCATCCGCAATCGGATGGTATGG